AATACAAATAATCAAAACAATGTTTCATATTTGGTTAGTGTTAATATCACCAGTAAAAATAATCCAGAAAATGAAAGCGTTTCCCATTAAACACAATCACTACTAGTAAGTTCACAGTACTACTGTCATGCAACACAAAACAAGTATCAGCTTTCCTCAAAATGGTTTTTAATCCTCATTTCTCTTCTGATGACCCCCATTTTCTAAGTGACTCAGGTTTGAAACTTCAACTTTGATTTTTCTCTCTCCCTTACACAAAACAGTTATGAATCGCTAGGTACTCAAGATTTTATTTCGGCCAATGCCACTGACATTTATTCCCTTCTTCCCAATCTCACTGCTACAAAGCCTTTTAAAAAGCTTGCCTTCAATTTTACTGCAGCCTCCTAAACAGTTTCTTGCCTAGAGTCTTCCTCAGTTCCAATCCACAGGATGGACTCTAAACACTACTTATAAACTTACCAAATCTAATATCACAGGTCAAAAACCTGTAATGTCTACTGCCTCAGGAACTAGTTAACCCTTCCCCTAGCACTTAAGTCATCTCACAGCATAGTCCCAAACAGCTTTCCCACTTGTGCTCAAGCTGGACTGCATCCTCTCTTTATTTTATTTTATTTTTTTTTTGCGGTACGTGGGCCTCTGACTGTTGTGGCCTCTCCCGTTGCGGAGCACAGGCTCCGGACGCGCAGGCTCAGCAGCCACGGCTCACGGGCCCAGCCGCTCCGCGGCATGTGGGATCTTCCCGGACCAGAGCATGAACCCGTGTCCCCTGCATCGAAAGGTGGACTCTCAACCACTGCGCCACCAGGGAAGCCCCGCATCCTCTCTTTAAATTATCTTTCAGTCTTCAAACCTTTGCTCATGCTGCTCATTCCTCTTGGAATACAACTCTCAAACACGTATTTAAAATTCAAAACTCCTCTCAAATTCTACTTGCTCTGTAAAGTCTTTCCTGGTTTACTCAACTTTTCTATGAATGGTCACATCACTTCTTACACCCCAGCACTTAGAGCATTCTGACTTGAAGAGTAGTCATCTGTGGATCTGTCTCCCTCCCCTACCATCTACTAGACCGTAAACTCCCTGAGGGGAGTTCATACATCCTTACATGACTTGTAGCACCCAACAGGACACAGAGAAGAACAAAAACAGCCATACGTTTATGAACTATTACACAAACTGTACAAAAACTTAAGTCACTGTCTCATATACGGAAGAGGGAAAATGGCACTAGATATTGTGCGTCAATATACATATTTCTGTTGATTTATACCATAAAACTGGCAAGCAGGAAAACAAAATGTGGCAACAACAGAAACAGTCATTCATCTATGATAAGGAGTTCTAACTAGACATCTATAAAAAAGAACCATGAATTACTTCAAAACAGTGATTATCAGCATCAGAATGTGAAGTAATGAATAACCTTAGACATTCTGGTGCTGGACAAGGTAGCACGATGGTTTGTTAAATTTAACAAGTTCAGACTCTGAAGTTAGGCAGACCTGAGTTTGAATCTCAGCTCTGCTACCTTCTACCCATGTGGCTTTGGGCAAGTTACTATGTCTCTATGCCCAAATATTCAGTTAAATATTTATGAAACAATACTATGTTCTAGGCACTGGGACTATAAAAAATAAAACAAAGGGTTCCTGACCTCAGGAACTTACATTCTAGTAGGGAAGACAGACAATAAGCAAATATATATACAGTGTCGTTGTACTAAGTGTTATAAAAAGAATTTTTTTAAATGCAGGTAAGGGGACAGAGTAACCAGGAAGGCTATTTAGATAGAGCCTGGGGGAGACCTCTGTGAGGAGGTGGGTTTTGAATAGAAAGACACCTGAGTAAAGTTAAGGCAAAAGCCACATGAATAACTGGAGAAACGAGCATTCTGGACAGAGGGAGAAGCATGCATGGCCTGTGCAGGGAAAAACAATGAGGCCTGCGTGGCTGGAGTGGCGTGAGCTAGGAAGAGAGGTAAGAGACAAAGAAACACTTTTTGAAGGGCCTTTAGGTCAAGGAAAATACTTAAGACATTTTTCTAGTGAGACAGTACTCTCTTAAATGGCTTCGAGCAGGGAAAAGACCTGGTCTAACTTAGACCGCTAAAGTCTCCAGATCGATGAACAGGGCATTAAGTTTAAGACGGAAAACAAAAAGACTCAATTGGGAGACCATTACGGTATCTACACAAGAGGGTGGTGCTTGGGACTCAGGTGGCAGCAAGGCGAGGTAAATTTAGAGAATATTTTTAAAGGTAGAGAAAACAGTATTCTGATGGATTGTATGCAGGGTCTGCACCCTCACGGGAGGTGTGGTCCCAGTTAGTCTTGCTGATTCTTATATTGGTGAGAAATATTTAAAGAAAGAGAGAAGGTATTACAGCTCAAGGAATTTAAACTAGTGTTAGCCCCAAAATTAGCTATATCTGGCACATTTAAAAAGCATATTCTACAAACAGAAATGACTTACTGCTAGGTCAAGGCTTTTCCCCCCTACAAGACTGCTGAATACACATAATCATTTTGCCTAGCAATATAATATTTAAAACACACATCATGAACTATGAATAAAAAGGTTCAATTTAAGAGTTCCTGGAGGTAAAACTCACGAAAGTGTGAGGTCCCCCTAATGACTAGGGTGTAGGTGGGTGCCTGAGATTTTAACTCAGCCTTGTCCACACTGAGCCTCCAGTAATTCATCAATTATGGTTTAGGTTTTCCTACCCCTAGCACTGGTTTTCACGGAGGTTTCGGTTCTGGTTAAGTTGTGCTTCTCTGTATTCACCTGTCTCTCCAATTTGGGAGACAGGAGTTTGCCCTGTGACCTCACTTTTCTGACTTATCCAAGAACTGTTCATTTTCAGTCTATTCAGCTTTTCATTTATTTTAAGGCACAGGTTAGGCTTTATAAGAAGGTGGCAGGAGGGTCAGAATCAGAGAAGGCAATATGATGATGCTGGCAGAAAGAGAAGTGATGACAGAAGCAGAGGCTGGAATGATGTGCTTTGAAGATGGAAGTAGACGCCATTGCTAAGGAACACAGGCAGCCTCTAGAAGCTGAAACAGACAAGGAAGCAGATTCTCCCTTAAAACCTCCAAAAGGAACACAGCCCTGCTGGCACCTTGGCTTTAGTCCCACAAGACTAATTTTGGACTTCTGATCTCCAGCACTATAAGAATAAATTTGTGTTGTTTTAAAACACACCTCCCCCTACACACACCCCCAAAAGGTTCAACTTTTAAAACCCTATAATCTAGTATAATTCAGTTTCAGGATATCTTACACAAACATATGACTTAATGTAAGTATAATAAATGGATAAGATGATTTCTGAGACATTGAATCAAAGTTACTGAGCAGTAACTCAGAGCAAAGCCAGACAGGGGGTTGACTGCTATCTGAGTTTCCCCCTATCTCCCAGGAATCCTCAAAAACAACAGAAATGATCAGCTGGAGACAGATGTCAGAGAGCAGTCAAAGGACATCTCTCAGCCCCTGTGTTCTCATTATTTATCTCAGCCCTTTCTTATACTTTGTGGTCCTGGGTAACTCCTGTATTTCAAATACTCTAGTTTTAGTACTCTTCTTCTGGGAAGTGTTATAAGCTATTTGCCTAAAAACAGTTTATTAGCTGAAACAGCACAGGTAAACTCAGAACAAAGAGACAGCCCTAAGACATACTTTAAAAATCAAATTCTTATTCCAAGCGTAAAAAAAAATGACACTGAAAGGTTAAAGAAGTAAACTCTCCCTCTTCCACAAACTGCTTTTTAAAGACTTAAGAAAATGTTTGCGCAGCTATCTTTGGAAATTTTGATAATTTCTTCTCTATATATATTACATCCCCAAATACTATGTACCTAGTATCGAATCAACGGCGCTTAATCAAGGAAGAACAATATTTGGTCTGTACTCTTCAGGCTGGAGTGGGTGGGGAAGATTAAATTACAATGGCAGTGGCTACTACCTCAGAAGCCAAGTGGAAGGAGCCATGCAGGGTGGCGGGAGGAAAGGCACGGGCTCACGGACATGGGCCTTAGTTTGGGGTTGAGCTGGGGAAGGCTCACGGTGGCATCGTCCCGCGGCTGCCAGAGGCGGGCGGAGGACCAGGTGCAGCCG